GATGTCGTTCAACTTTTAAGTTTGTCCTTTTAGGTGTATGGGTAGAAATAACATTCACAACATTCCTGCCATCAATCACTTATCTACACTTCTCCTTACATGTGACAAATGCTAAACACATTCATTCTCCAATTCTCAGAATCATTCATAGTTCTAATTAATTCATTACATCAATTGATTTAATGATTTTCAATCTCTTTATTAGATAATGGTATATCGTAACGTATCTTTTTCAAGTTATCATCCTCAGTGTTTTTAATCACTTTTAAAATGAAGATTTATACCTTGCACCGATTTCTTACATACTCTTTCTTATAGCACTTGAAACAAATGACTCCTTGGTGTTTTTAGTGCTGCGGTTTTTGGTGATATAGGTACTAGTTGGGAAGGGTTCTAGTGGTAGATCTTGAGGCAGAAAAAAATTTCACCAACCTCTAAAACAATTAAATTCTTTTGTTTAGAAATTATACCATATGTATTTTGCATGTTTAAAAAACATCTTAGCAAAACTCAATCTGGTAATCATTGCTATTTACCAAGCAAAGAACTCTTCTATTCGGGTTAATCGGTCTAAGAACTTATCGAGATTATGGATTTCATCACAGGCAAGGGATTCTTTTTAATATTTCTTGAACGATCATTAAAATCATTAGCATTCCTAACATGATTTTCATTTCTATTTAAATTTATTTTGACTAACATTCTCATATGTCTTCTAGCAAATTATTCTAAGAACTTATCAGGATCATTGATTTCATTCTAGCAAGGGCTTCTTTTGTAATTTTTCTTGAAGGATCATTGAAAGTATTAGCATTCCTAAAATTTTCTTTTCTATTTTTATTTCTCTAAGATGACATTCTCATAGCTTGATGGCCATTTTTGGTTTTGTTGAAACCCATTTTCTAGGTTATTTGTCATGACATGAATAAATTGTATAGGGCAGGAGGCTGTGCTGGAAACCTAGGAGTCATTTTGTGCACTTAGTTCACAATATTTTGCATTTCTTTTCTCTACTCTTCCACATATTTGCATTTTGTTCCTATGTTCCTCTATTAAATCTTGGTTCAAACTTTATCCTCTACAATTTTATTTCGACTCTCAAATTGATCCATTATGGCGGACTTGGGTGATATGTTATGCAAATAAAGTTAAATATATCTTCTTTTTGTTTCATTGAAACTCATTTTCTAGGTTATTATTATTCACGACAGGAATAGGTTGTGTAGGAAAAGGAGGTTGTGCTGGAAACCTGGGAGTCATTTTGTGCATTTGTTTCTTCATATTCTGCATTTATTTCTTTGCTCTTCCATCATATGTTGTAGTTTGCTACTATATTCCTCTATTAAATCTCGGGTTCTAACTTTAGTTTCATTGATTCTAGTGGATAAATCTTTTGCTATTTTATTTTGACCCTCAAAGTAATTCATTGTGCCAGACTTGAGTGATATGTTATGCAATAAAGTTAAATAAAAGCATAAGCAAATAAGATCTTATTTTTTAAAATGGAAACATGTTAAATGCCACATATGATATATATATGTATATGTTAAAAAATTTTGGCGTTTTTTTTAAATAGAAATAAACTAAAAAAATTTAGCAAATCATTCAAAGTTGAGAAAATTTGATTTCAATATTTTATGATTTTAAACACAATTTAACGGTGTTGCAAATTTTTTCCTTAGGGGAACATACTTTCACGCTCTGGAAAAAAGTTAAGTAAAATTTAGCAGTGCTAAGCTACAACTAGACATTGGCTAGGTTACAAATTATGATGCATAAACACTCTGGGTTAATGCAATATGCATTATTTGACACATTTCGGGCACAAACATATTTGATTAAAAAATAATTAAAAATGGATATGCATGTTTGACAAGCACATCCTAAATAATTTGATTAAAATTTTATTAAAGATAACATTGAAGTAATGATTAAGTATACATTATAAATTATTAAATTTAATATTTTCTCACGTCTTGCGAAATTCTCTAATCTTAACTCTTCCCCTTTTGGTTGTCAAGCCCACGGGCCTAGAGTTTTGGGATCAACTCACCTAGCCCTTGCATGAAGACCAACCCCTTGAGCATCAATGTTCCTTTATTCATATCATGCTTAAGTAGCCATGGTATGCATTCTTCGTGACATTTTTTTTGTTGTGCATGCTATGTTTTCTCTATCTGTTTCTCCAATTTATGAGTTTATCTCATCCTATTCCATGCTTAATGAGGTTGCGCTTATATTTGTATTGATTTTCTTCAAATATTCTTTCGGCATTTAGTAACTAACATAATTCTGCAAAGAAGGGCAAAAGAAACTTTAGTTGCTGATTTAAGAAGCTTTTTCACATTCTTCAATTTTTTTTATTCTCATTTTCTTTCTGTCATTCTGCGTAGGATATGGTTAGGTACTTTTTTTTTTTCGGAAGTTTGTAGATTATGATTTGTTATGTGGAAATGCTTCTTTAGCTTCTACTATTTAAAATATATTTATGAAGCTGTTCTTTTAAGTAGGTATGATAGATTAATAGATAGTGCAAATGTAAATATTGAGTTATTTTTGAATTTAGTATTCAAATTTTGAATTTATCTCCTCAAGTTAAATTTTGTATTTCTATTTGCATAAGGGGATGCAGAAGATATATAAATTATAATGTTGTGTTTAATGTGCCTTTTTATATAGAATTTTTGTCCTATATTCTCAACAATAGATATGTTTCATGTTTGTAGAGATTATCAACATATATAGAATTGTTATAATCAGTTAGGTCATACACAAATTTTCATATTCAGATGAGTGATATATAAATCATTGTATTAAAAAGTCACATATTTTAGATATTAAATATCAAGTATATATCATTATATTTGATATTCATTTCTTTAGATATATATTGTTTACTTTATTGGCGTACTTGGTCCATACTAAGAAGCATTGTATCAAAGCTCTCTAACTCGTCAACACCTAGATGATAAATTAGGTCAACAGGATCATTGAGCTAAAATCGAGTTGGGCTTTGTTAATCTCCATCACGCTACGTCAGACAGAAATGCACTTCTTGGTATTGATAAGTTCAAACACAAGTGATTTACTTAGGATTTTAATATGTTGACAAAGTCTTGGAGTCAACTTACAATGTGTTATGTTGTCCCTTAAATATCAAATTGAAGTATGCTGGAAAAATCCATTCAATGGATATAATGCATATTGTATTTTAATCATGTTAGTCCGAGAATTAAATCAATAGTAGTATCATTGAAGGTTAAATGTATATCATGAGACGTGACATCATGATGTTAAACAAATAACAAATATAATCATTTAAAGATACATGATTATGTGGCATGAATCTAAGATCAACTAAGTGCATGATAATATTCATATATTAGGAGTCAAGGAACTCCTAATAGATATAAAGAAACCCCGCTAGCTCTACCACTCTAAATGTCGTCAAAGACTAAAAATATATCATGACACAAATAACATTTATAACTCTAAATAAGGAGCATGTGTAATTATATGAATATGCATCAGGAATCCAAGATCAAGTAAAGACATAATAATATTCATATATTATGGGCCAAGGAGCTCATAATTGCTATATAATAATTGTGCGTCCCTACCTTAAACCTCAGATGTCCATGAAAATCAATGCACTTGAATCTGATTACATCAAAGAATTCCCAACAAATTTATGGCTACAAATAATAATTTTAAACATCTATTGATAGTTAATTATTCAATTACTATTTTTGTTATTATTTTACTAATAATTTTTTTTAAATTTATTTAAAACTTTATGAAATTTGGAAAATCTTTTTAATGTATAGCTTTGTCCTTGATTCATTTTTTCTCCAATCAATTTCAATTAATTAAACCCACAATTAGATCAAAAGCTTCAAATTTTAGTTTAAATTAGGGATGATGCTATTTCAACCTAAATTTTCTGAAATTGAACCGTGAAACTTACTACTAACATTCTTTTACACACACAAGTATGTTGTTATGTCTAATAACAACTCAATTTCATAACTAATTGAAAGTCTTATTTACCTTAATTTCAAATTTATTGCCCTAAACTCTGATCAAATTTGAATATTTAATACTTGATTTATTAATTCTTAATTATATTTATTTCTTATGCCATGGTAAATCGCTATAATCTTAATGAAATCAATATATAATTTTAACACTTTATACCTTCATTCTAATTTTAAAAGAAGAAATGGAGGAAGAGGTAAACTTCTGAGAAAGTTCTTTGTTTGGGGCAAATCTTCTTATTGAAGATCCGCATAGGAATAAGAGAATTGGTGGATAAGAAAAAAGAAGAAATGTATGAAGAGCACTCAAATCTTGCAGGTGCGGGCCAACATGTGATCTCACATGACTTGTACTTTGCTCCTTCATCTCTCCCACAATCTCTCACCTGCTTCCTCTCAGATACTCTCAGATCTCTTTCCAACGTAGGGCATATAGAAAAGTAGTTGACCCCTTCCTCCTGGATATCCTTTTGGTGGTGCTCTTGCTTGTGGCAATACTACTCTGAACTTGCCCAATTTTGGCTAGGCTAAAGCTTTTTATTTTTTATTTTGCTATTAGAGTACCTACCTATTTATTTACTTAAATTAAGATTTAGCACTAATTAATGCACAAATTTTCTGATAGTATATGACTTGAGTGCTGGACAAAACTACTTTGTCTGCTGGTTGCGTGTTTCTTAATGGGAATTTTTTATTTTCAAGATGAAGATACAATTGGTATTTGATAAACTCATCAATATTAATTTTCTACTCATTTGTGTATAATTATAGTTCTCTTGCCTTCCTTATCGATAGTGCCGGTCTTAGTGAAATCATATAAAAAGTTTTGTAGTGTAATTGTCTTGCTGATTTCTATAATATAAATTCGTAGCTTCTGATCACACCTATTCTCTTCCTTTTGCTGTTAATTATGATAGAAGAGCATGCGCTATTGTTTCCCCTCTTTTTTTTTTTTCTTTGTAGGACAAGATGATACTAGATGATGGCGAAGACTGCAAAGGTGTTTTACTTTCTTATGTTCTATTAGTTCCATCAGTAAATATGGTAATAAAATTCTTTCAAAAACTTCTATATGCTATATGTACTATGAAAGAATTGCATTTTGAGTATTGCTTTATGAAGCTCTTACTTAATACATCTTGAGTGCATTTGTGGATATCATTCACAATATTAAAATTATGTTATATCTTCCATATAAAATTTATGTGTTTCTTATTTTTTTCATATTGAAGAGAACGTGCACAGACATTGTGTCATAAAAGGTTAGTCAATCAACTCAAATGAGTAATGATCAAAATACTCTAGATTTTTTAGGAGTCTACTGTAGTCTTTGACTTAGTTTAGGTGTTTAATTTATTCCCTCAACTTAGTTATAAATCAATTTAACCATATTGCTTATTTTATTATTTCCTTCGATCTACATTGGTTGTGGGAAGCAGGACCTTTTAGACCTTTAGGTTTATTTCCATTAATTTGAGCTAGTATTAAATAATTATATTGATTTAAAAAGTCCAAAGTAGCTTCATAGAAACTTTCTCTCCAGCAATTTCTCATTCAAAAAGATGGCAATGTTGATGGCTGGATCAAATTATTTGATGTGTTGAGGGACTAAATAAATCCAAAGTATTTGTTAAGCAAAAGGTAAGTTATTGTCAATTATTAGGCAAGTATTTAGATTGTACCTCTCCTTTAATAGAATATCTATGACGTGAAACTCAAACATTTCAATTAATGTGGTATTATTCTGGTTTTCTATGCTAAATGCTATTGTATTATTTTAACTACAGTTACTGAAGGTTGATCATATGCTACATAGTATGCTGTGTGAAATATACAAAACTTGGTTCAAATAGCATTGAATTATAGCAAACTTGTTGTTAAGAGTTGGGAGTCTTTCATATAAATGTATATCTTAACTAATTTTAAGTCCAATAATGTTTAAACTTTTAATAGATGTGAATATTTCATGTTTAGTACTTGTTAAGTGATATGCAATTGTTTAAACTTATTATAATGAAAAATTATAGGGGTTGGCTAAGTCTAAATCTATTTTTATTTACTACATGAAATTTGATGACATCAATTTAAAAGCTAAATGTAGACTGAAAATCCAAAGATGTGAATTTTAGTTACCGAGTAGTTTGTTGGAGAAGTTTACTATCAAATGAAACGGGGAAGGTAGTTGATAAAGAGTTGAAAGATGAAAGCATTGAAATTATTCCTGTTAGTGATGTGATGACTCCTCTTAAGTTCATTATTGGTGGGGGCATTATTCGTATGATTTAGAATGAAGTTTTAATAATCAATTTTGGAAAAAAAAATGGATGGTATATTTGATGAGAAAAGGATAATTGTTGTTGGTGATTAAATGGTCATAATGATTTTAGTAGGATGAGTTATTATAGATTTTATTTTGGTTATGTAATAGGAGATTTAGGATGAGTTATGATGAGTTGTAAGAAATTTCTGTTTGGGTATGGAATGGAATGTGACTGGACAAACTATAAATAATAAGCTCTATCAGATAACTTTGTAATTGTTACACAATGAAGCAACATTATGTTTCTTTCGTAAGTGAACTACTGAATTAGAAATAGATTTTAATCAATTAAAAGCCCAACATAGTCCCCTAACTATTAAGAAGTGTCCAATTTAGTTTCAAACTTTTAGAATGCTTCAATTTAGTGTTAGACTATTAAAAGTTGCTCTAAATTAGTTGTAAATTATATTTTCCATTAAATTTGACACTGGAATGCATGAATTAAAGAATATTCTCATCTTTAATGTAATTATTTAAAATTTATGTGGTTTTTATATAAATCTCTTTTCTATTTATTGTTAAAAAATTATAATTTTTTAATTTGCATTAATAAATCTTTTCACAAAAATTATAGTCTTTTTTTCAAATGCAAAATTATAAAATAGCCAATAATTATGCAATAAGAGCTCAATCCATCTAAAATTATATGAATTACTTAATTTCAATTGATTTTTTTTAATATTATTTATTATAGAATGTGTTTTAAAATAGTTAAAGTTAACTTGAAAAATTAATGATTCAATTTATTTTACGTTTAAAACATTATGTATGTGAATGATAAAATTATGTGATTGTTGGCAAGCCACTTATACCTCTACCCAAATATTTTTCAATATATGTGTATTCAAATGATAATCTACTAAACTTTTCATTTGAAAAAAAATATTGATTGTTGTGAAGAGATTTATTAATGCAAATTAAAAGTTATAATTTTTCAAAACAATTACAAAAGAGATTTAAATACAAACTACATATTAAAAGTTATAATTTTTCAAAACAATTAGAAAAGAGCTTTAAATACAAACTACATAACTTTTTGAATAATTGTATAAAAAACTGAAATACCCTTCAATTCATTTAGGACCAATTTAGAGCAACTTTTGATACTCAGGGACTAAATTGGAGCATTCTAAAAATTTGAGACTAAATTGGACTCTTTTTAATAGTCGGGAGACTATTTTGGGCTTTTACTCAATTTTAATCAAAGGTTTGTTCTTTTACTAGAAAAAGTGCAAGTTCTCATGAATATAGTAGTTTTTGACTTTACAAATATATAGAAATTAATAATAAATTGCCTTGGGATTAGATGTTGGAACTTAAAGTGTGAAGGTTTTAATATGCAAGCTAAATTGTTGAAGCTAATAAAAACTTAATAATTGAGCAAATTTGGTGTAGGAGAAGATGGCTAGATACATTAACAATAATGTTTAAAATTGCACAATTAGGTATTGAGGGGTTTTCTATTCGTGAGGTAAGACATAAGTCTTGAGACGGTCTATGACATAAACCTCACAGTTTAAAATTGCGTAAGTGAAAATAAATTGATAAAAAAATAAAATATTAGCATCATAACTTACATATTAAAGAACGATACATTAACATTTTAACTTGATAAAAAATTAACAAATTACATCTATATGATATAATAAATTACGTAAACAACAAAATATTATATAACAACTTGCACAAAATAAAAATATAATGCAAACACTCCACTGATTAAATCATCAAAATGACATAAAATATGAAATGAAAATAACATAAAATATTAATGTAAGACATAAGATGAATTTAACATATTAGACTTCTCTCGCTCCTATTGTCCAACTAACATAATAACATACTATGGTAGCAAGGGCATGTCGAATGGTTAGAGTTAGCGGTAGCAATGGTAGCTGGAGCAGGCGGCGGTAGTTGGAGCAGGCGGCGGTAGTTGGAGCAGGAGTACTAACAGGTGGAGACGATTGCAGCTGCAACAACAATAGGTGGCAAAGTCGGCTGCAACAAGAGCAACAACAAATAGTGACAACAACAGGTGGCGGCGACTTCAATTGCTGGCGGCTTCTATAGGGGAAGCAACAAGCAGTGACAGTGTCAACGACATAAGCAATAGGTAGCGGTGGTGGCAATGCCGATGAGAAAAGTGGCAGATGATAGAAATGCCAGGTGTCGACATTGGGAAAGCCCGAGCAGGGAGAAAGAAGTTCTTGCATGTGAGAATTGCTGCTTCGGTTCCTATTTGAATCATCTAGTATTGGGAAAAAAAACTAGGCGCGAGAGGTGCACATCTCAACCGAATTGAGGATAGGTGCACCAGACCCAAGCTGCTGGAAGCGTACATCTCGCCCATGCTGGGCCTCAATTTGTTTTGTTTGGATTTTTATTGAGACGCACCTCAAGGCACACCTCAAATTGCGCGATTTTAAACAAAGATTATAAAACTGTCATCAAATCTCTTTTAGGTCTAGAAATCTGTTATATATTGATAGGAGATTTGGTGGTTGAGTTGTAGGTACGAAATGTTTTTAGATAAATAAATGTGTTAGAAAGTGTAAAATAAATGATACTATGGCGTGTGATAATTTACTTTAGCTAATTGTCTTGTATGCTGATAATTAATAAAATTAAAGCTACAATTCCTGGTGATAGTTATGGAATAGGCGTTGTGGAGAAAGGAGCTATAGAGAATTTAAGCCAAACTAGGCATATTTATTTTGAAGTTTAGACTTAAGGACCATACTTAAAGTGAGGAAATCAAATCAATATAAAAATTCTATTTTTTTAAATATTTTTTTAGCATTAATGAAGAAAATTTTTCATCAAAACCAAATGAATATAGCTGTGAAATATATTATAAATTTATCCAATAAGATAGAGTTGAGTTCGTTTTGAAGAAGATGCACTGATATGAAGTTGTAGGTCCATATAAAATGCCAATTGAGATTTAGGAAGTTATGAGCAATATTTGAGATTAGGAAGTTATGAGCAATATTGGACGTGATAACTTAAAATGATTCTTAAGATTAATTAGAGAGGAAGTATTGTGGTATCACCTTTAAAAAATAAATGGGACCTTGACCTTTAGGGTTGTGCCTAATTATGAGGTCATACTTATGAAGCATACAACTAAATGAAACCTCATGCTTTCTTGGAAAGGGCACACAATGTTTGTTTAATAATTGAATCTTGGTTTTGTTAAGTGGTCTCTCCCTACGCAACGCATTGCTAGGTTTCTCCATCATATGTGAAGATAATCATCAATGATACCATTAAGCTGCTTCCTTTAAAAATAGCTTATGGCTATTTTCATTTCACATTATTTAAAGACTATTCTTTGTATGATATTGAAAAAACATGTTTCTGCCATGAGAAATCATTGAAAGCATGTGTGGTTGTCCAACTCTCCAGCTCCTAAAGTAGTCCTGTTTTTCTAGTCTGCAAAAATCCGTTTGTTAATCTCAAAGTCATATTCACTTGACCTATAATCATCGAGATTTATAATAAACTCGGGAGGGACTGTAGCATTTTTTGTGGTTCTTCATTCCGTTCCTTCGGTGAAGTTTCTTTCTTAAAATTGTTTCGTTTTGTAAAAACCCTAGTATCTTCTGAGTATTTGGAGGTTGTATGCACTACAAAGAACTGTGACAAGGTTATTTGTGGATTTTATAGAAAAGTATTTTGAGCACAGACCATTCTTCTCATCTTTGTTTACAACATTTTGGACTGCCAATTTATCTCTGATACTCATGTTTAGTTGCTTATCTTTGAAACTACTGAATTTCCTTATGATTTTTTACAGGATATGCCAATGATGACGTGTAATGTGCTGTGGTTGGAGTGCCTTGCATTGTGTCCTGCTTTTTGGAAAATGTCAGCTATGCTTCATTCATATGCTGCTGAGGTTTTAAAATTGTTTTAAAAACATTTTCAGATATGACAATTTATTTCTTCTCATATTTAGTTTAGATGGTGCTTTAAACCGCTATTATGCATCTGCTTTGGTACGATTGCTTCAACCAGATTTAACATCTATAAGGGAGTTCAGATCACTTGATCTCTTTCTTATTTACTATTAGGGGCAAGATGTTGTGACATTTATTTAATTAAAATAAAAAAAAAATTGTGTAATTATTAAGAAATAATTCAATTTTGAATTCAATGGAGGATTTATTTCCTTTAGTAATGTGCTGCCTTTGAGCTAAAGCATGTGGTCCAGGTGAATGGAGCTGTTATTTTGTCTTATTAGTGTACATTACAGAAGGGCTTTCAGCTTCTGGAATAAGTGTTTGAAGATTGTCACGGCTCGCCGCTGTAGAATGCAATGAACTCTCCATAGTCTAACAACAAGAAGCCTTTATCTCACTAAGTGTGGTCGGCTACATGAATGATGAATGTCCTGGCCATTCAATATAACCACATTGTAACCAAAGCACCCTTGGTATATGCTAGAGTATGATGGTTTCATAATTAGGCCAATATGCTCTAGAAACATAGAGTGGTTTCCCTCCAAATTTTGTTTGGTAATCACTCCAAATAAGCATATAAAACATTGATTACAATTAGAACTAGCCTCGTTCTAGTTTTGGCTTAGTTAAAATCTTTAAATAGTAAATTGATGTATTTTGCTTAGTTCCTTACATAAATACTTAACGTACTCTCTTATGATATTATTGAATGATTAATAAAATTGTTATTATTAGTAGCACTCTTAGTGAAGCTTAATAGTAGATCCAAAGTTTTGTGACTTTTGTGAGTTAAATCTATACCTTTTTTTTTTCTTTTTTTATCCTTGCCTCCTCTTCCTAGTCTAAGGGTCTGTTTGGGACAATTTTACTTATTGAATAATCTGCTGATAAACTGATTAAAAATAATCTATTGATAAGCTGGTTGTGGTGGTTGTTATAAATTTTTATTTTTTTTTGGAAAAGCCAGATCGCTGCTAAAAAGTTTCCACCGCACTTAGATAGGTGCGGTATAAAAACTTTGTTTTCAGCATTTTGAAAACACATAAGCCGTCAAAAAGCTGTCAAAGCACAGTTTATCCAAGCAGACCACCACACCAAATAAGCTGCCCCAAATGGGCCCTTTAGGCTTCTCCTAAACTTAACAATCACTATTTTCGTCCCTTTAACTCTACTATCATCTTGCCATAGCCCCAATTACCCATAATTAGCAATTAACCTCTTCACCCAACACCAAACCATAAGCAAACTTTCTATGAGTTAGACCTTTTTATCATAAACCCTAACTAACTTATTTGAAGCACTGCACTAGATTCCATCTTCCTTCTAATATCTCATAAATCCCAACACCCAATTGCTCCCTTTCATCATGAACCTAAAATAATGTATACTTAAGCCTAAAAAAATAAATTCCTATCTACCTCTCAACTTTAGACCTCCATTTTCTAGCCCACAAAACCCAACTATTAT